GGAAGGGGGTGGGGGTACGAGGGGTTGCGGATGTTTGAACCAGCGGCGCATGCGCCTTGTAGAAAAAGTGCAGCCATTGTGACGGCGAGAAAAGAGTGCGTCTTGCTACATGATTCTTTTCGACTCATTTAAGTTTCTTCAAAGCTGTTGAGCTATGAGATGTGATTGTAAAAGAAATGCAGCATGTGCAACCCTTTTCTGAAGTGTTTTGTAACCGACAAGATATGCAATGCGTTGTCTCGCAGCTGGTAGTTGCGGAAGGAGTCAGACGACACCCGACACTAGCGCTAGCGATGAGGTGGAACGTAAACAACAATCCTGCTGATGCTGTCGTTCTCCAGGACCACGTATCTTCCTTCTCCTTTAACTTAGAAAATTTTTAAGCTTCTGCGTGGACTTTTCCGCCGGTAAGAGTTTCTCGGTACAACCCGTGTGTTTTTGTGTAACGTTGCCTGTTCGTTTGAACAGTAATTCCATGGTAGCCACGAAATCAGTGCCTACAAAACTATCCTTTGGGGGGTGGAGGGGCCAGAAATAGATGTTTAAGACAAACATGTATTTCTGTATATTTGTTAGCAACTGAACTGCTTGTTCCTGCGACCTATAAATATTCGATCTTTACTGAAAGACCGCATCTAAAAAAAACACTTGAAAACTTGTCCTATCTTAATCTTAAACTACTTTAGGAATTTGGATAGGGAATGGTTCTCTGTACGTTTCTTTCTGTTGTGTATCTGTGGGGAAGTCAAAATAATTTTTCTGCTTTTTTTCTTGTTTTTACAGGGGTTTCAGCCATGGGGTACGCACATCAATTGTGTATCTTGTCTCTTGTAATCATTTCATCATGTAATGCTATTCCAAAACCTGAGGAGAGTGCAATGCACTTGCAAAAGGTAAGAGTGTTATATATATTGTTAAAAGATTACATTGGTTTTTAATATATTTTTCTGTATGGCGTGGTTTTTTTTTTGCTGATCAAAAATTTTGAGATTGTAATTTATTTACAGTTAGGAGGTCTTGGTAGAAAAATTATGTTTATGTACCATCAGGGTTTTAGAAACCAGAACCATACGTCATCTTTTACATTTGTGAATTTTGTTACGGGACCTTGAGCTTCTTCTGAGGTTCTGGCCCTCATTATGTCATTGGACACAATGCAATTGCAAGGCTTGTGTCACTTGTAGTGGCAAGGCAGGATGGAGGGGGCGGTTGAGTGGGAGGAGTTTGTGTGTGTGTGTGGGGCTGTGACGCGCTGGTCAACTACCGGCCCTTGGAAGTTTTGTGGGAAACGTGTCAGTGAACATGACTGGCCTGGGGGGTGCTAGGCGGGCCTAGCTTAGCTGCTGCCTGGGATGCTCAAAATGTTTGATCCTTACACAAGAATTTGTCTTACCATTTTAGGATATGAGCAATAAGCCCCACTATCAGCATGGTGATGAACACAACACACAGTATGATCATGAGGCTTTTCTTGGTGCCGAAGAAGCTAAGACTTTTGATCAACTAACCCCAGAGGAGAGCCGTCGACGATTGGGGTGAGAAATTACAGCTGATATTTTTTCCTGGTTACACTGTGCCCTTACACCTTTATTTGCAATATTTGTTTACTTTGCTATCTTTTCTTTTGCAGTCTAATTGTTGACAAAATTGACAAAAATACTGATGGGTATGTTTCCCAAGAAGAACTCAAGGATTGGATCCAGTATACTCAGAAGCGTTACATCTCAGACGATGTTGACCGTCAGTGGAAAGCACACAACCCTGAAGCTAAAGACAAAATAACTTGGACCGAATACAAGAAAATTATGTATGGTTTTATGGAAGGTATGGATAAAAATAATCTCCTCAGTCAAAATTCAATAGTCTCTTTATATCAAGTAAATCTTGCAGCACGGTAACATTTGTTTTGCACAGATATGGACAAAACAGACTTAGATAAGGATGATGAAGGTTCCTCGTACCAGAATATGGTTCGGAGGGATCAGCGCCGCTGGGGTGTTGCTGATGTAGATGGTGATGGAGCCCTGACTCGGGGAGAATTTGCTGGCTTCCTTCATCCTGAGGAAACAGGACACATGAGAGACATTGTTGTTCTTGAAACTCTTGAAGACATTGACAAAGATAAAGATGGACGTGTTTCCCTGGAAGAATATATAGGTAAGACATTGGAGCTTGTAAATCCAAAGCTGTTTCTGGCTTTTGTATTTTATTCTTCTTATTTATTGGTTGTAGCCTCTAGTCGTATCACTGAATATGTATTTGTTTAGGTGATGTGTTCCGCAGTGGAGATGGTGATGCTGAACCTGATTGGGTGCGAAATGAAAGAGACCAATTTAAACAGTACAGAGACAAGGATGGTGATGGATACATGGATAAGGAAGAGGTAAAATTGTTGTTTTCTTTTTTCATGAAATGTTTAAACAAGAGTACAATTTGAAAAAAAAAAAATTATTTGCTTCCTGTTAGGTGAAAAACTGGATTATACCTCCTGACTTTGACCATGCTGAGGCTGAATCTCGCCATCTTATTTATGATTCTGACTCCGATGCTGATCAGAAACTTACCAAAGAAGAAATTTTGAACAATTACGACTTGTTTGTTGGCTCACAGGCCACAGATTTTGGGGAGGCTCTTACTCGACATGATGAATTCTAGTCAATCATTGTTATATCAGTCTTAGCGTCACTAACCCAAATGTCAAGTCTTAGGACTCCAGACACAAGACTAGAATCTCTATATTATGAACAGAGCACAAGTATTTTAACTCCAAAATAGGGACGATAAATTGTATTAATTTTCATGCCGTATGCCTTATATATTTCTAACAAATGTGAAGTAGCCGAGAACAAATCTTAGGCATTATCATTTCATTATGAAAAAGTGTGGTGATACATGTCCTGAAGTATTTTGATGTGATATCCAATGTGTTCCTGTGGTGCCAATGCTATTAGATTAATAATTATGTCATAGAAACCTTTCCTTGCTCTTCTACTTAAGATTTTATTTCTTTATAACTGTTTCTTGCCCTGTCAATGTTTTTGGGAACCAAACTTTTTCACATGAGCTATAATGAAGACATGCCAAATATGCATTTATATTAAACTTCCTGTTAATTTTCTATTTTATTTTTATAACATTGTTATACATATTTGCATTTTTATGTGTGCATTTAACAGTAAGTTTCTGCATGTCATGGTCTGTTATCTTCTCTAAAATTTGGTGTCAATCTAATAATTTGGTAGCCTTTAGAAAATGGTATAAAATGAATATTTTAAGTATTGTCAGCCATATTCCCCTCTAGAATCTCTACTTCTTTCTTACATTTTATCCACTTCATATAACAGTATTCTCTGATTTCTTATGTTTGTTTCGCCTTTCAGCCACTATTGTTCTCAATTATTGTTTTCAGGAATACTGTACCAAATTCATATGAATCTCAATCTCATTGTCGTCTTCCATTCCAGCTTAGTTCTTTATCTTCCATTTCAAGTTCTTAACGGTAACATTTAAGACTCATATTTTGATGTTTAGTTCGTACTCGCTCATAGAATTTTAGAACACCCCAAAATCTCATGATCTTCATGTTTACATAATTTTGCAGTGGTGAATAGCCTGAATGTTTCATAATTTTCTTAACATTTACCTGCCATGGCATGTCAACCACCAAGTAGTCCCAGTTTTGTCTGTAGATTTTTTAAAGTGTCAACAATGTGTCATGGACTTCTTTAAGTGTTTGTGCTTAATTAGGATTTTAGATTTTAGTTTTTTGCTTTGTAGTAGAAATAAACCTGAAGTTATCAATAGTCTTTGTGGTTCTACTTTGTAACAGCTGTAAAATTCCATCACATATTTATTTTATATCATCACTTATTATTACAAAAGCTAAAAAAAAGTACATAGAGTGAAACATCTTTTTAATCTGTAAGAGTGAAATGTAATGGCAAAATTTCTTTTATAGAGGTGACAAGGACCTCTGACATATCAGGTGGGGACAGGAATATTTCAGTTCCCGTCCCAAATTCTATAATGAATTGTCGACAGGATCCACAGGGAGCTGTAAATTGGTTCTCCAGCTTGTCTGCAACTACAACAACTTTCTGGAACTCCCTCTTTCCTTCACTCACTGCCTTCACAACAGCCGACCTCTCTGCACAGATGGAGCCGTGTGCACCGTTCTCCACATTGCACCCAGTGACCACCGTGTTGTCGGCACAAAGGATGGCGGAGCCAACCTTGAACTTGGAGTAGGGAGAGTATGATCTTTCACGGACCTCAACTCCTTTCCGGATGAGCTCTTGGACGTCCGGTTCTGCAAGAGAGACAAAACATGACTTGGTGTATTTTTATTTTTTTTTACTGAGCCCTTAGGAGGCATGGGGCTTTATCTTAAGAAACTCAGCTGATTAGCTCCCCCGATAGGCCCGTTTCGAACACCCGAAATCTGCAGGCATGAAAACTGCAACGTCGGGTCTGACAACTACCCCTCTTGTTATTGAAGGTGAAACAGCTGTGTCCGACGAGGGTGGAGGGCACTTTCGAACGCTTCCCGCCCGCAGCCGACGCGACCGCCTTAGAGGGAAGTACCCGGAGCAGTGGACTCCTCTGTCGCGGGCCCAGCCGTCGAGTGTCGGTCAGCTGTAAAACGCTGCCATCACGTTCCTCGCTCGGGTGGGGAGAGCAGTCGCCCGACATCTGTCACAAGCTGCGACTCGCAACGCCCACCGACCGACACATAGGCCGCGCCGCCGGCGAAGGTCCCCCTCCCCCCTCTCTCTACAACCTAACGACTCTCAATCATCTAGAGCAATTGGTGGGATGTTGTTGTTGTTGTTACCAACCTATGGCCGAGAAGGGCACAATCTTGCCCGCGCTGCGCTGGCGGGAGTCGGCCATGGCTGCTGCGAGGCGTCTGTCTACGCGGCGCGTCTGTCTGCGGAGCACTGACTGAGAGCTGAGAGCAATCTGAGAGCCTCGGCGGGGCGGGGCGGGGCGGGGCAGGCGCGGCGGGGTGACACTCACACTTACCGCCACCACCGTGCGTAGTGGACGCGCGAGGTCGCGCTCGGCCGCGGCACGAGACCGCCCCGCCCCGCCTCGCCCCACCCCACTTTCTTGAACCTCCGCGGCCACCCCCCACCCTCTGTACAGCCGTGATGCCGCCGCCGCCACCCGCCACCGTATGTCGCCTCCTCAGCTGATCCGCCTGGTGGACTGCCGACTGATGCAAAAGATCGCTTTTGTTTACGTCCCGTGCAGCTCCTTCCTTGTCGCTCTCATGGGGCATGGGGCAAAGCTACTTGACGCCTTGACGGTTACATATTCAGGCTGACTCTGCCGACGGAAGAGTGGACCTTACCCGAAACCAAGAAAGCGGCTCCGTTCAAAAAACGCGCGGTAGAGGATTAGAACAAAACAAAACAAAAACATAACTACAAATGTGTAGTTCAATATTTTTTCATCCATGAAATACCCACTCACAGACAATCCTCGCTTTCGATCATAAATTTAATTAATAATGATTTTTTGGTTTCAGATTGGTGGAGTTCAATCAGTAATTCTTTTTGAGCAGTGCTCTATCAAACAGCAGTCGTTGTCAGTGTGGTCAACCTGTATAAACACGAGCAAGCAGAAGCAGCGCGAGGACTAGCCGGCTCGTTTAACCCGTTCAACACACCAGTGACAGTCAAGTAAAGATGGAGAAAACTAATTTAAGCAAGGAAAATGGCAGACCCGGACCTTGATGAGACCCTACCGACTACTCAAGGTAGCACTCAGCCAGTTAGTCAAGATCCCGGTACCGATAACTCTCCTAAGGATGTACTAAGTCCGGTCAGTCAGACGTATTGGGGTAGATTGTGCCCACTCTCACGTCGGTTAAAACATCACGGTAGGTTATGTGCATGTCAACTGTCAACGTTTCTCTGTAATCATAACTTTTATTATCCATTAGATAACTCTGATAACATTTTCCTTGGAAAGTGTAATTTATTGTGTTTGTTTTCTTGTATAGATTTGGTGGAGAGCTCAATAACATTTGGGACAAAATCTTCTAATACTATTGTTATTCATGAAGGACTTGTAGATAAAGACTACTTCAAGTACCTGGACTCAGTACACTTTCGTATTGAAAGGGATTCGATTTTGATAAAAGGCAGTAATAACTTCAGGAGACCCAAAGTTGACATTCATGACTTGAGTCGTCATGGTCTTTTTATTAATGGTTACAAAGTGGGTAGTGGACCTAGATCAATATCTACACCTACCAAGTCTGGCTCTTCCTCCACAGAACTAAAAAACAATGATTTGATTTCACTGCCAACCAATAAAAATGGAATATATGATAAGAAATTTGATGGTATGTAAGATTAATCAAATTGTAATGACAGTTTTAAATTTGTTTTTGATACTTACTGGAATTTCTATTGGCAGCCTACATCTTTATAGATAGTTACGCTCCAATTCCTTCTCACTTTCCCAAGTCAGTTGTTGAACAATATCATGTATCACTCAAACTAGGTGCAGGTGCCTTTGGTGAAGTTCATCTCACATCCAATAAGGTTTGGGGCAACATTTTCATCTGCTGGTTTTTAAAAATTATTTATGTGTGTCTCCCTTATAATAATATTCCTTACAAGAATCTTTCTGAAAATTTTTAGGCCACTGGACAAACCTCCGCTATGAAAGCAATTGTACAGTCTTTCGCACCGGATTTTAATTCAGTGGATAAACAACGTTGCAGTAACAAATTATTGAATGAACTTGAGATTCTCAGAACTTTAGATCATGTAAGTTGTCATTTTCATTAATGTATCTCTGATTCTCTTGTATTATCGACTTGAATTCAAAAGTCTGCTTTCTTATTTCAGCCAAATGTTATAAAGCTAAACAACTCAATTCTCCACAAAAACGAATGTTTTGTGTTTCTTGAATACATGGAAGGAAGTGATTTAGCTGAAAGAATTTCCAAGTTAGGGAGACTTCCAGAACACATCACTAAAATTTTGTTTTATCAAATTTGCTTAGGAGTGCAGTACCTACATTCCAATAGAATAATTCATCGTGACATAAAGGTAAGAGTGGAATAATGTACATGCATCAATAAATATTTTTATGAATGAAATTGCCTGCTTAATTTTGATGCTTTGTTGCAGCCAGCTAATGTACTTTTGGCATCAAGAAGGAGCGAAACTTTGGCAAAGCTGACTGACTTTGGACTGTCAAAAGTTTTGAGATCCACAGAGAATATGCGAACACTTTGTGGAACGAGATTGTATGCCGCCCCCGAGTTGCTGTCATGCAAGAATGAAGGAAAATACACAGCTCAGGTGGATATATGGAGTTTGGGAGTTCTACTCTTTGTTTGGTGAGCATGCTCATTGCAATTGATTACTTCATAAAAGGCTTTTGTTTTTCGCTTTTAGTCATAACTGATTTGTTCTCTCTCATGAAGCCTTTCTGGAGATGATCCATTTGCCACAGAGCCCCACTTAATTGAAAAGCACATTATGATAGCCCTGTATGTTATGACTCCTGATGTGTGGAAGAATGTGTCAGTTGTTGCAAAGAACCTTGTGGATTCGATGTTAATAATTGATCCGCTAGAGAGAATCAGACTGACTGACCTTCTAAAGGATGAATGGTTTCAGGTAAATACCCAGCTATAAACTAAGTTGTCTCTGAAAAGTTCATAATCTACAAAAAATAAATAAGAGATAAAACTTACTCCTTTTTATCTCGTTTACAGGATGCTAACCTGCATGTGAAATTAAAGACATTGTATGAATTTTATGGCCATCCATTACCAGAATACAATCTGAAATCAACAATACACAACCCACACAAAAAAATCAAAACCCAATTGAATGAATTTTAATGTATTTTTTTTTACATTTCTTTTCAGTTTATTAAAGTGATTCTAATTTGTGATAAAACTATATATTTTCCACTCAAGTGCCTTTTATTTTTTTATCCCTTTGATTCTTTGTAGTTGTTGCTAAATAGTACCAGACAATCTATGAAACCATCTCCAAACTGTCCAAACTACAGGAACACTTCTCATTCCATGTTTGAACTTGCCGCCAGTTCCGTTTCCGTTCGGTGTAAACAAGTTTTCTTTCTCTTTTTATTACTCTTGCACGACGGGGCTGCGAATACAAGTTGTATTAGTAATAATATCATGGAGTCTAGCTTAACTCCATGATAATATATCGAAAATATAAAACTATTGCCCTCGCAGAGTGTCTGCTTTTTCCATTATCGGGAGTGTAATGTGGCAATTTTTTTGAAGTTTCAAGCAAGTTTGCTTTATTGGCGAAGGGGGTTCGCTGGAATGAATCTGCGAATCTGCCAACAGCTGTTCTGCAGGCCAGGCCGTCGTGACTGAAGTGCAGGATTGCAGGTTTTGAGACTGTTATGCTGTCACTCATCAAGATCAAGGGAAAACATCAATCCCCTTTCCTGCAATTAATAGTTTAAAACATGCCATTGATTTCTTTTTGATTCTCCCCGCGTTGAAGCGACCTATCAACCGCTATCATTTTATGTAAGTTATGTAGCTTGTCCAATATTTGCACAGTTTTTATTATAGGTTAAAGGAATCCCTAGAAACACTTTCTACTATTTTGGGTGCGAGCGGCCTTGACAAAGGCTTACACCACAAGAAATCTTCAGAAGTGGTTCGATAAATGTTTTTCAAACTTCGCGTTCTTACAATTACTAAATATCTACTTTGTCCGCTTACATCAGCGGACATCACAGGTTCTCCTTAGTTTGTAAACATGTCAAATCAGATAGTAGATACATAAAGGTCATCCACCTTCCTCCCTTTAAATCCCTTTTATTTCGTAGGACATCTTTCAACAGTTTTTTATGACAAATATGTATATTTACTGCTGTAGCTTTTAATCATGGAGGATGAAGAAATATATGTCCAAAATGGTAGTTCTTCAGATAACTCCTGCCATTACGGAAGAAACAAAACTGACATACAGTATGTCAATAATTGGGAAGGAATCCCTGAAAATATTCTTCTGAACGTTGTCACTTGGTTGGTAAGTGTAATTTGTAATTGGTGTAAAGTGTTTTACGGGGAGTAATCTTTTTGTGTTGGATCCACAAACCATGCACTAACTTTTCATACTCTTCGTGATTTGTAGATCCTTATTTTACTATTTTCTACACTAAGAAAAAGAGCTTGGAACTATGGAAGAATTGCTCTTGTGCAAAAAACTGAGGAAAAGTTAGTTGAAATCCATCCTTATGTATTAAATCCTTACAAAATCATTGAAAGAAGCCATTTTTTAAACATTGCATTTTGAATTATTCAGGTGGACTCAGCTGTTTTATGGTACTGTAGATGAAGGAATTGGAGCAGGTGAGCTTGGGGACTCAATGTCGTCTTTGGACTCAACCATTCAAATGGACCAAGGATTCTGCAGTTGGCTTCCAGCTCTCTTTAAAATCAAGTGAGTCTATCTTCACTTTGTTTGTTTAAATCTCTCTTCTTTGTCAAATGTTTTATTTTTAAATTCTTTTTAGGGATGCAAACATAGCACAAAAATGTGGTCCAGATGCAATTCAATATCTGCAGTTCCAGAAGCACATAATATTATATATTGCCATTCTCACACTGATATCAGTATGTGTGGTGTTACCAATTAATTTTCAAGGTGACATGCAGGGAGATGAAACAACTTTTGGTCATACCACACTCAGTAATTTAAGACCCGAGTAAGTTTATGAATGGGAATATATACTTACATTTTTATGAGGGTTACAGGAAGTATTTGGTGCAAGTGGCGTATTCCCTCCCCTTTCTCCAATCTCTTTACACATGCCCACTAGTATTTAGTAATTCAACTGCTGCGTCATTAATTGTACCATTATTTTCTTTAATTTTTAGCTCACCATTGCTTTGGACCCATGTTACCCTTGCCATTCTTTTCTTGCCTCTGGGGATAATTATCATGCGCCGATTTTCCGTCAATATAAAGGTTACAGAGAGAGAAGGCCAAAGAAGGTCCCGAACTCTCATGATCACCAACATTCCCCGTAAAAACTGTGACAAGGACGATTTATTGCGCCATTTTAGGTATGTTTCCAGCCGTTTTTTGCAAACCTGTCCAAGTACCCACAATTTCACACACTCTTTTTTATGTCTTTCAGAGAAGCCTATCCGGAGGTTCATATTCATGACCTTCAGTTGGCATTTGATGTAGGTAAAGTTAGTTCACTGGAAAGAGAAAGGTAAGAACTTACTTTGTTCTATCTTACAAATACAATCTTTTAAAAATGAAATTTTGAGCTTAAGTACAGTAAATTGTTTTCCTCTTATCCTCTACTCATTCATCTTACTTTATTTATTTTCCTGCTGTTAATGTTTTAGGTCAGATGCTTTTGAAGCTAAAACCTACTGTGAAAATTATCTTAAATCCACGGGGCTTCGTCTGGATATGCGACCGCACCTTTGTGGAAACTTGTGTTCGTGCTGCAATCTGTTTGGTTACCCTACAGTGAGTATTTTTATTGTTTTTCCTACTCATTAGTAATTTCTGCATAAGAGCAATAGTCTGTTTAAAAAAAATTGTTTTGATGGGTGCACCAAATCAACCAATTGAGAGAAACTTTTGTCTTAGGTTGATGCTTTGGAGCACTATGTTGAAGAAGAGCGTAGGTTATGTGAAAAAGTTGAATCTGAACGCATATCAGCATTGAAGAAACCACTTGGTATTGCCTTCGTAACGTTTATGTCAGTAGAAGCTGCAAAAATGGTTTACCGCCATCACCGCACAACATTTGGTTGTGGTCATGATCCCCCACCAAGTACCTTGAGTGCTACTTTGAAACCTAAGAGATGGAATGTTTCCTTTGCCCCTTCACCAGCTGACATTTATTGGTTGGTAATCATGTCTTAAAGGATTTTTGTGTATGCTTGGAATAAGGGTGAAAAATGTATTCTAATCTGCTTTTTTTGTTGTACAATTTATCTACAGGGAAAACCTCTCTATGCCATCAAAATACTGGTATCTCAAGGCAGTGATCATCAACACTATCCTATTTATTGTGCTGTTTTTCTTGACAACACCTGCAATTATTGTCACACTTCTTGACACTTTGAATATGGATGATAAAATTAGAAAAATGGTAAATTTATCAAATTGTATCCTGAGCACTAGTGTTCTTTCGCAATTTTGAAGTCCAGCAACAGCTATCATTCAACAATTTTCTTTTTCAGAGTCCGCTCTTGTCAGAGTTTTTGCCAGCTCTGATGATGGTGTCAGTGGCTGCGATGTTACCAGTACTTGTTGCTTTCTCTGATCAATGGCTGACTCATTGGACAAAATCAGAGCGGAATCATTCTATTATGGTAAAAACATTTGCATTTCTTCTATTTATGGTCCTAATTCTTCCCTCTTTGGGACTTACAAGGTATTTCTACATACTCCTATGAAATTTTAAATGATTTAAACCAATGAAAATTTCAAATTTTGAACAGTTGGTCTTATTTCCTGTGATTTTCTAACATTTAGTGCCGAAACATTTGTGCAATGGGCAATTCATGCAAAAAATGAGTCATACCGTTGGGAATGTCTATTTTTGCCTGATAAAGGTGCTTTCTTTGTTAACTATGTAACAACTGCAGCCTTTATTGGCACTTCTCTTGAACTGATAAGGTTCCCAGAGCTCTTTATGTATGTTTTTCGTCTATGTCTTGTAAGGTAAGTGGCACTCTGAAGTTAATCACTCTCAGTATTCTAGGGACTTGCCAAATCAAGCTTACATCAATATTATTTCTTCCAGATCCAAAGCAGAATTGCCTAGTGTGAGGAAAGCAATTTTATGGGAATTTCCATTTGGAGTGCAATATGCATGGATGCTCCTCATATTTGCCATGACAATGGTCTATAGCTTGTCATGTCCTTTAATAACGCCATTTGGTAAGTAAGCTTTGATGCATTTCTCCCACAGTTCTTCAGAGTCTTGTTTTATTTTCCATGAAACATTAATTTGACTCTCTTGGTTCTTACAGGATTAGTGTACATGATTCTGAAACATCTGGTTGACAAGCACAATTTGTATTATGTGTATGGGCCCTCAAATATTAGCCAGAGAATCCACGCTACAGCTATCAACATAGTGATTGTTTCAATAGTGATGCTTCAAGCAAGCTTCTTAGCACTTGCTGTTCTCAGAAAAGGACTCAATGACATCTCTATCTATTCGCTTACTGGATTTGTGATAACCATTATGTTCTTTATTGCTCATTGGCTGTTTCATTGCTGTCGAGGGTTTAGCCCAATTGCCTATCAGGTACTGTAATCGTCTGATTCTTTTTAGTATTGGCTCTTATATATATGAACTTTATATTACTCTCGTATTGTTTCACAGCCAAACTGTACATCTCAGTCATCAACTCCAAGTCGGGAGCCTGCTACTAATCATCACTTTGTTCCTCATGTCCTCGAGCCCGAAGCATCTCCGTCTTCGTCCCGCACAGCTCGCTCTTTGAGAAGCACATTGAGTGGTGCAGTGCAGCCAGAGCTGGTGACGGTACACAACGTGGCTGAGGATTTGAGCCGCATACAGCAGCAAGCATACGCTGAAGATTTGGGAGAGGAAGGTGTTCACGTGCATGTGCCTGGCAATAGCACTGACTCCCAGGCCAAGAGGGTGGTAATTGATGTAGACGGAACGAGTACAGATGTCTAGGTATATAATCTTTTAGATGCATTGAAATTTAACAAGACTTATCCTTGGATGGCTGTGCCCTTTAAAAAAAAAAAAATGTTAAGAAGTAATGTATTTTTGCAAAGATCAAAGTTGCCTATTCCATTTAAAGATGTTGCGTGTAGCTTTGATCAGAGCATAGACTGTGATTTCTTTCAGTCAAAAAGCCTATTTTACTGAGAATCATTAAGGTCTTTATATGACTGAACAGTGTCATGATTTGTGTTAATGTACTATTTTTACAATTAATTTCTGTTAATATCAATTGATATGTCACTTTTCTTTTCTATTTAGCTGTGAATTGACACTTCAAAGAGATGTTGCTCACTTCTGCCTGCTTCTGGAATAGTTTGAAACTAAATTTGGTATCTGTTTAACATCAGTATACGTTTTTCATGTTATCATTGTATTATTGTATTGGCAGGTTTGAAAAAAGAAATAGGTAGCCTCTTGATTTGCTACTTCAATATGTAAAATAAACACTTTCACTTTCGGGTTTCTACATACGAAACTTCTCTCTTCTTTAATACCAAGTAGATTGGTGAAATCATGATTTATCTGGGCATAGCTGTAAGAATGTTGAATTTTTCAGGTTACACAGTTGGTTTACAAAGAAAACTGCATCTTATCATAAGTTTTTAATCTAATGGTAATTTTAACTTAAGTTATACCTTTTTGTATCTGCTTTGCTTTTCTTTTTTTACTTTCAGGAAAAGAAACTGTTAAGCCTGATTAAAAGGTTCCCTCCTAAACTTGTTAGCAGCTCAATTAAGTCTTGTTTCTGAAGGGTTTTTAGAATTATTTGACAGCACTTTCAAAGTTGTTTGTAGATATTGTTTTCCCTTTTATAACGAAGCCAAGGATAAGTCGTTAGTCTGTTCTCTGGAACTGTTATTCCAAAAACAGACGTGTGATAACTTGAGATTGTTTGTTTTTGTAGATATATATTGGGGAATAGTTTATAGCATGTTCACTGCATCTGTTTCCAAAATATAATTGTGATACAAAGTATTTTGTTATTGGCCTTCCAATATTCTTATCATGTTACCCTGTTATAATTTATAACTTGCTTAACTTCACATATGGGGATAGGTGTAATTGTTTAATCTTACATGTAGGGTTTGCTTACTGTGTTTTACAAATTAGCAAGCTTTGTTTTTATGAACTTCTTCCTTCTAATTCTGCCTCTAGTGATTGTGAACCGTCTAGTTGATGGTCTTCTGCTGCACGTCTTGCTTTAACTTCATGCGAGTACTTTTAGCTTACCAAAGATAACAAGCAAGCTTGAATTTTTACCATTTGACTAAAATATTTTTCTGTTATGTATTATTACAAATCCCCAGAGCTTCTAGGAGATTTCCTCGCTACATAATTGTTCTTTTGAAGCAGTATTTTTTTAAAGAACAGGACAATTTAATTTATACTATTTACTTGCTTTACCTGGAACTTTCAAACACCTTTTAAGTGTTAGTTAGTGTTCTAGAGATGCTGTATACTTTTTGTCTCACCAAAATCATTTTTGTTTGTCCTGCCAGGGTAGTTTTCACTTTGAATTAAGTTTTCCTGGTACCTTTGTGATATACTTTCTATGGGAGAATGAAGTAGAATAAGAGAATTTATATTATACTAAAGACAGTGCATTTTATAGATTCGGAAGTATCTTTTGATATTTTAGTATAAAATCTATTATTTGTGTAGGAATTTTTTTCAGATTGCATTTATTCCTTAAATGAAAGATTGGCTAAAGAAGCAGAATAGAAACAATTGGTCTTGTTGTGTAATGTGTACACTATCAGAAAGAATAAATGTTTTGGCTAATAAAACAGAATACATGGTCTCAGTCTGATTATGATTTTGGCTACTACAAGGGGATAGCTGTAATACTATATAACATCGCAAGGATTGTTGCCCTACTTTAACATGCAATGTTTGTATCATATTGTTTTACTTATTTTATCCGACTTCCAATGTTCATGTTCTTTGCCAATCTGGAAATTGTCAGGGCCAGTCACTTGAGTGCTTTAATTAAGGTAATAAATCTTTGAAATTATTATTTTGTTATCATTGATTTTGGTTTGAACATTGTCCTTACGTATTTAAAAAAAAAAAAGAGTTGTTAAGTTGGTCAACGTAATTAACTTCAAGCCTAACGCTAGTTCTGCCCTGCGCGTTGAGGCATAAGAGATGCTGCATGTTTAATGCTCCGTATAAACTAAAGAAAACATTCACGCTTTTCTCTACTCGTTCCCTCTTATATGATGGTCCAGCATGCCAGGTCGCAACTGCGAACGCACGCCCCACAGGAGCGCAGTCTAGTCTGCCTGTATGCGCTCCTTGACTTGATATCGGAAGGGCAACTCGTAGCCAGGCTCAGGCCCTGAAGGGCAGGCCCAAAGACGCCGGCCGGTCCGTCTGCGCGGACCAGAGAGAGAGAGAGAGAGATTTTGATAAGGTGCCAATTCGAAAATACTTTGTCTCGCTGCTCTTCGCGGCGCGGGCAGAGCAAGGTTGGGCCAGCGACAGAGTGGCCGGTTCAAAGGGAATCCTCCGATGACAATGAAGTGCCAGACAGGCTGACTAAAGTTTCCCAAAGATACCATTTAAGAGGGAGAGAGGGGGTAGGGGACACACGAGGATCGCTCCCGGGCGTGCTATCAGCGCCTTGAAGTTTCTGACGGTGCCGTCGCCTCGCCTTGTTGTCATCCCGAGAGCAGGTGGCACCCGCAGCGGCGCGGCCACCGGCACTTGCTGCCAGAGCCGCCGACCGGACCGGACGGCACACCAGGACGGCGAGGACCGCGGCCGACATGAGGACCCACGGCCGCCTCGTGCTCGCCGCCTGCATCCTGGTGGTCTGTGAGTATAGAACACCCGGCACGGCCCGGACGGTGCACCGCCTGCGGCGCGCTGACGGCGTCCTCTCTAGCGCCGGCCTGTCCTGTCTGCAGCAGGTGTCTCGGCCTCGCACGTGGTGCCGAGCGTCACCACCGCCTACGTCAAGGGCCGCCTGCAGCTGTGGCTCGCGGCCGACCCCCCGCCCGCGCCCGCGGACAAGCCTGACCAGCCGGTGAGCCTGAGCTCCTGCGCCGTGCGCCCGCCCGGCGAGCTCACCTTTACCGTCCTGCCGGAGCGGCCGGGCCCCGACAACGACGCCGTGCTCAAACTACTCGGCGACTACGGCAAAGGGCTGTGCGGGGTGCAGGTGCAGCCCGTGAGCAAGGCGCACGCCGGCACCTGGAGCCTCAGGGCCGAGTTCAAGGCGGCCAACGCGTCTGCGGCGAGCGCGGATGCCGTGGTGACGGTGTCGGGTGAGCGAGTGTCTGTCGTTGTGGGGTTGGTCCGCCAAGTGTTACAGCGCCCGAAAGTCTTACCGTGTCCTCTCGCTTTCGCGCAGAGTACTCTGACGGGGTGCTTCCAGAGAAGCCGTCCGTGACCGAGGGTGGCTCCGGCTTCACGCTCCGTCTGGTGACGATCGGGAAGGACCTCAAGTTCACCACCTGCGGAGTCATCCCACCCTGGAGCTCGGGAGCCGTCGTGCCGCTGGAGCCGGGCGCGGCGGCCGCGGCCGGGCCGGACGCGGACAGGCTGCGGTACTTCCCCGGGAACGGTGCCGCCGGCTCGCTCGACAAGGGGTGGTGCGCCGTCGAGGTGGTGGGCGTCCGGGGGAAGGACGGTGGCCGCTGGATCCTGGAGGCCACGGTCAAGGACACCGGCGTGGTGCGGCGCGGCTACACCGCCGTGACCGTCTACAGTGAGTACACTCACACTGCTTTATTAAGTCAGGGATTTTCAAGTCGAAAATGTTTCCGAAAAAAGGGAACCTTTTTTTCGGAAATTATTGTAATATTTCCAGAAAACTGGTAAAAACTGAAACTTTTCAGGAAAAAATTAAGAGATTTAATAATAGAGGTCTCCCTAAAATACTTTTCCTGAAAATTAAAGTACACCCACCTCGCCCTGCGTTGTGGAATACCCCGCCGGAGTGAAAAGTGCTGTCACTCTTTACCCGTCCATGCCGCAGCTCCGCGCATGGCCATCTCGCCGTCCTCCGAGATGAACGCGGAGCAGAAGGAGACGGCCGTCATGCGGCTCGTGTTCGCCGAGACCCGGGCTTCCGGCGACGTGCAGTGGACGGGGTGCCAGGCGGTGACGCCGGACGGCGCCGTGGTGCAGCTCTCGGGGCAGGGGCCGAGGACGGCGTCGAGCACGGACGAGACGGTGCGCCCGTCCGGGCCCGCGGGGGTCGAGTGCGGCGCGCGCATCGGGCCGCTGGAGGCCAGGCACGCGGGCAAGTGGACGCTGGTCGGCGAGGCGGGCGGCGAGGAGCGCAGCGCGTCCGCGAGGCTCGCCGTACAGGGTGAGTACGCCGCCGCCGGCCACCTGGTGGGGGCTGGGGGAGCTGGGTCACCGTCGTGACGAAGCACCTTCCTTCCGACAGAGGCGTACCGGCCATCCGCGTCCAACGAGGTGTCCGTCATGCTGGGCGCCCGCAATCAACCGCTGGACTGCGGCCCGGAGAAGGCCCTGTTCTGCGAGCTCCGTGACCCGGCGGGCGCGGTGGCCACCAGCTCCGCGGGGCCGTGCCGGCACACGCTGGAGCGGGTACGCACCGTGCACAACGGCTCCTGGACGTGCTCGATGCTGTTGCCGGGCTACTCCGACGCGGTCAACGACACAGTCGTCCTGGTGCTGGCAGGTGAGCGTCGTCGCCGCGAACTGTCTGCCCCGCCGCCTCCCCTCCCTCACGACACCCCCCTGCTGCAGATCCCGTGCGCGTGGTGACGGGCGTGGTGGTGCCAGCGGCCAGGACGGGCCGCACCGTGGACGCGGAGCCGCCGCTGGTGCTGCAGTGCCGACTGGCGGGCACCCGAGCCTGCCCCAACGCGCTGGTGTACTGCCGCATGGACTCGCCGAGCGGCGAGCGCCACCTGCTCAAGGACGGCGTCGTGGGCTCTGGTCGCTACTCGTACGCCGGCGAGGGCTTCCACCGCTGCGACTGCTCCATGGCCATCAGCCGGCCTCTCGCGCCGGGGGACATCGGCGTGTGGCGGTGCGTGATGGGCTTCCAGTCCAGCCGCCGCGCCGGCTACGTCGAGCTCCCCGGGGCGGACAGGAGCGCGCGCGACACCTCCGCGGCCGGCGCCGGCCTCGTCGCCTTCCGCTCGCCCGTGGACGGCGTGGTGACACCCGGGGCCGCGGCGACGGTGGGCTGCCGCGCGCCGGGCGCCCTGGCGTACTGCTGGCTCCGGACGCCGCGGGGCGAGCGGCTGTCGGTCGTGGACGCGTCCTCCGCCGACGGCCAGCCGCGCTACGCCGGGATGGGCTTCGAGTTCGGCGAGTGCGGCGTGTCCATCCCCGAGGCCTCTGTGGCCAACCACTCGGGCACCTGGCGCTGCGGCGTGGGACTGGTCGGCCGGGGAGGGCCGTCGATCGACCTCGAGGTCCCCGTCGAACTGACGGTGTCGGGTGAGTCCATCTATGCTTTCCCCTGTTTTAATTCACTTAAATAAGGGATTCGCCCTCTCACAGATTTCATGCGTCGACAATCGAGTCTAGTCGCAACTTTGCTTCCACAGCGTCGCTGGTGGTGCCGCTGGAGGTCCGCGTCGTCGGCGCGACCGGCCACGCCGCCACCCTGGGCTGCCGGACCCTGCTGGGGGACGCGCTCGACTACTGCCGCTTCCAGCGGCCGGACGGCCTTAGCGTCCATCTGGCGGACGCGGGCCTGACACCAGGTGGGACCTTACCCATTATTACCAAAGATTGCCAATGATTACCAATGATTACCAAAGAATACAAATGAGTAACAAAGACTACCAACGAATACTACTTGGTATGATTCCCCTGCATTGTTTTTGATAAATCTAAATGGCCATTTATCGTCCCGAGACGGATGCATTTTTGTTCACATTGTAGATAGTTCTTAATTCTTTATCTGGCAAGTTAAACATCTGCATTCTATGATTAGACAGATTATATTTTTGTCCATCGGAGGGATACAAAATTTGGCCGTATTAAAAACATGCGCGTTTGCCTTTTTCGCCTTTTAGGCAGATGTGCACAAAAATGCACGTCTCAATCAACAAATTTGTCCTTTGAAAGGACCCTCACGAGTGCGTGGATTGCCAGGGATAACCAGTGATTACCAAGTCGATGTGGGTGTAACTGTGAATGCGCATCAGTGTTGCGGGATTGCATACCCGCCAGGGCTGCAGGGGCCATGGCGCCTTACGGGCGAATTGGGTAGGCAAACCCGCAACACTGCTGCGTATTCACAGTTACACCCGGTACACCTGATTACCATCGTTGTGCAGTTACTCCTTTCTTATCATGTTAAAGTAGTAAACGGAGCCGCCTTCATTTTAAAGTGTCACTTGTGCACTTGTGCACTCGGTGCACCGAGCAGGCGATTCGAGTAAACGCTATGGGTCTCAGTAATAACTTGCTCTGTGTCCCGAGCGCACCGCACACAGTGAGTGCCACGGTGAGAGCTGCTACGGTACAGTGTATGGTGGGTAGGGGCCCGCACAGCTGTCACGCTCGGTGCGACCAACCCTGCTGGAAGCAGTAAAACGGAAACAGCGGTTGAAAGCGGTCCACGCCGGGATGAGAAATGTGTGCCGCGGCCGAGTGTATCAGAGCGGACGCAACAGTGTTGCGGGGTACTGCCTACTCCCTCCACCCGTCCGCTCTCATACACCCGGCACTGGCACCGCGTGCTTAGATATGTTCCTTGCGTTCTTTGCGTAATTTCCCTCCGTTTTTGTTGTTGTCTGTCTAGACGGCGACGGCAGCCTCCGCTACCGCTACCTCGGGGCTGACGGCGAAGGGGGTGGGCTGGCCGAGGGGTACTGTCGCCTCGCCATCGCCGCCCTGGCCGAAGAGGACTACGGCGACTGGGTCTGCGCCGTGCGCGTGGCCGGCGAGGTCCGGGGCCGCGAGCAGACGGCCTCCGTGGTGCTCGAGCCGAGTGGAGGTGGGCGCGAACTTCCCTTTGGAAGAACACGAAAACGCATAACATCACTTTGATGTCACTCTGACATTTCCTTGTTCCCCCCCTTGAGTAGGTTTCCAATACGGGCTGGATGGTGCACTTGTTGGCAGGTGTCGCTGACGCGGGGGTGGTCGGCGGCGCCGTGGCCGCGGCGGTGCTGCTATTGGCCGCGGCCTCCTTCGTCGGCTACCGTCGCTTCCGGCCGCGTTTGTCACGTCGCTCGCCGTCCATCTCCTCGTCGCAGACGAGCGACGCCCCGATGGCGCCGAACCTGGCGGCGGCCTCGCTCACCACGCCGCGGGGCTTGAGCCAGCCGGCGGTGCGGAGGACGACGACGCGGTCCTCCGCGAGGGTCGCGGCCACCATGATGCCCTCCACGAGGCTTCCCGCCAGGATGCGAGGGGCCAGCGGTGCCAGGGCCTTGGACGAGGCCATCGGCCTCGAGCCGCTGCCGAGGACACTCCCGGCGGCGCCCGAGGACTCGTCGAGCTCCGATGTCGACGTCGACGTCTTCCCGGCCGCGAGCAGGAAGACGCAGTAGACCGGCGGGCTATCGATACAATGGACGAAATACAGCGCATTTTTTCTTATTTTGTTTCTATTTGTTTTATTTACACTCACACAGAAATTTGCATTTGAAATAAAATGGGTGTTCCAGTCATTTTGCTTCAAATCACATTTTTTCCGGCAGCTCACCTTCGATCCCATTCCTTAAAATATAGTGACAAATACACACAAATTGAAAAAATAAATAAATAATAATTTGAACCGTTCACAGAACACCTCACGAGTTAAAATCGTGCTCGAAATTAAACTGGCAATCTTACACAATAAGCAACTGGTATTGCAAAACAACCCCTCACTTCAAATAATGAAACGAAGTGCAACAAGTGTCAAACATGTACGAAGTTTGTTTTATTAACAGGACGCGAGATGACTTGATCCAGGAGACACTACTTTACCTAGATCTAATTAAGGAAGGTCAGTGGGGTCATGTTGATTTCAAAATGACATCAACGTTGCTAACTAAGAGGAGGATACTCAGAATGAGAGGACCAAACGGATATCATCTTTGACTTCAGCATTCTCATTTTGAATACGATAACACTTACGGCAAAATAGGGAAAACACTAAAAATAACGGACAGTAACAGGGACAGACAAGACCAGAGTGAGAACATTAAACATTTTCCACGCGGCGGGGTCCACCCACACCCAGATGAACCCAGCTTTTTAAAAGACGGCAGAAATGGACCCCTCGTACGGAAAGTGTCAAGGGAAACGCACACTTATAGGTAAGGGCACAATACAGCCCACATATATAGCTACACAGTCTATCGCTAGCTAGCCTGAAGATCTAAACGTAATAAATATTTGAACGCGCTCTACACGCGTGAGTCTTTCGTCTCTTTCACTGACGCCCGAGGGCTACAGAAGGGAGCGCGTACTCCCCCGGCGTGCCCGCGGCGGGGGAGGTAGGCAACCGCTCGGGCGCCCGCGCCCCGACGGTGGCGGCGTCCACTCGCCCTGCGGCGCTCGACCCGGGGGCACCCTCTAGATGGCCGTGATGGCGGTGAGCGTGTCCTGGCGGGTGAGGCCCACGCTCACCTCCTTGACGGGGTGGTGCCGGTGGCTGTTGTGGTGGTGGTTGTGGTGGTGGTCGGCCTTCTCGTCCACGCTGCCGTCCTTGACGAGGTCGCTGCCGCCGTGCTCCGAGGCCGCCGGCTGGGTGTGCGTGTTGACGGAGTGGAAGTGGACGCGGGTGCGGGTGCTGCCGCGCCGCACCGTGGGCACGTTGAAGAGGTAGCGGTTGAAGTACTTGCGGAACTGGCCCCCCGAGGCGAAGGAAATACAGGTACAAATTGTCGCGCACGACCCGGCTGCACTGTCTGTGCTGTGGGGATAGGGAAAGAGTGGTAAGAATCG